GTATATATATTCTTGATCAGCATCAATAGCCGAGTCGATCTAGCCATGTCTGTTTGTTCGTCCGTCCGTCCGTCCGTCCGTCCGTATGTATGAACGCAAGGATCTTAGAACCTATAAGAGCTAGAGACTTGATGTAGATGCTCCTAGTTCCCTCGCAGATCGAGTTTGTTTCCGATAATCTAAAACGTACTCCGTTTCCAAGCAATCGATACAAATCGATATCGATATCCTGTTTTTTGGGCAATTTTGGTAAATAATAAGAGCTAGAGTCACCAAACTTGACATATAGCTTCTAAAATAGAATATATATATACATTTGATGTTGGAAGAAGAGGGTTCAGGGTATCCCCTAGTCGGGAGCTCCCGACTAGAACCTCTTACTTGTTTTTAATTTGCAAAATTGTACTCTTCGCTCATTCGGAACAATTTTTAAGTCGAAATGTCCTACGTCCTATGTGACGGGCTAGCTTTTTATTTTTTCAGTGAACTCCACGCCTTCAGACATAATGTCAATCTTCTATATATCTATATATATTTGAAAGATCGCGTTGATCTTCTTTGTAAACCTGAAGCAACGAGCTTTTGAAAAAATGTACAGTTGTTTAAGGAATATCGTACGTTTTTGCAAAAACTACAGATCCTACGGTTCCAGGTATATGAACTATCAATCCTGAAAGTATGCAGTAAAATCTGTCAATTGTTAATGTGTTTTACAAAAAGTTTTAAAAAAAAGTTTAAAGATATAGTGCTCTTAAAACCTTTAAAATGGCCGGCTACTTAACATATTTAATTGTTTTAAATGCAAAGGATAGATAATTTGAACTATTTAAGGTGCTCAAAGTGAGAAAAGTACAACATATTTTTCCATTACCATAGTTATCGTAACAGAGAACCTTTAAAAACGAAAATAGGAGACTTTAGCTAAAAACTGGAGAATATATAGGCATTTGTATAATCGAGGTTGGAAACTCGGAAACCCTGGACAAAATGAATTGTTCACATCATAAATTGCCTATAAACGACATACCTATATGGAAGAGGCCTTCCAGCCTGCAATATTGTTGCTTAGAGCTGGTTTTTCTGGGAGTATAATAATAACAATACATTTAAAATATACATAAATGAACATATACATAAATTGAATTCGAATAAGCTGCGAATTGCAAATCCTTTGAGCTGAACACTGTTAATATCTTTGATAAATGCTTTTCAATGCATATGTAAAAGCATAAATTAGCAAGAAAATCGTGAAAATTCATGCAGCACGAGGTCCTTTAAAGCATTTGACCAGCTGCCGGCGACGGCAAAGCCAAGCAAATAAGCAGGAGCTTAAGAGCAGCAACAAAACGTGGCGCATTCAAGTTTTAACGCCAGCTACAAGACAGGCCAAAGCCCAAGTGAATTTGGCAGGACGCAGAACACAAGGACTACGGCTCAAATGCCAGCCATTTTGTTGGCTCTCTACCGCCCGCTCTCTCAGCGCCCCCCCTTAGCATTATAACTGTTGTTATTTGTGTTGTGCAAAGTGTGTGGGTGGAACTGTACCGTACCGCCCCGCCACGCCCCGTACCGAGCCGCCCTTGCTGTGCTTTTGTCTTTTGGTATGCTGCGATTATGCAACAAGCTGGCAGCGTGTCCAGTTCTAAATGCCATTTTTTGGCAATATGCATTTTTGAAGAGCATTCGCAACCAGCCCATAAAGCAAGCCGACGAGAGAGCGGGGAAGGGAAGGGAAGAGCGAAAGCTCCTAAGCCAGGCGTACGCACATATGTGCAGTTACAAAACAAACAAAAAACAGCCCGAAGAAGAGACAGCTCCGGCCCTGGGACTGCAGAAAATGTAATCCCTGCTTTGGCGCACATTTCACGAGTACCTTTCAGGTTTCTAGCATATTTAAGCCCCCATTTATCCAGCAGCCTGGTCCTCTTATTGTCCCTGAACCTAAGCTTTCGTACTTACTTACATGAATGTGCTTGTGTGTGTGCGTGTGTGTGTGTGTGTAAGCTTTCGCTGTCCGTCTGCAGCTCACGCAATTTCAACATCATTTTAGACGCCTTCGATTGCGGCCGCGGCTTTGTCCATGTGGCTTTTATCTGCTTTTAACTGCTTTAAACTGGTTTTGCCTTTGAGGCAACATGAAATTTTCTGTAGCGCTCCTTAAAGTATACCTCAATATGAATGCAGACAAGTTCATAATATACATAATGCGAAGAGCTATTATTGATTGATTAGTTGCAAAATACAATAAACAAATAAACATTGAGGTTAGGTCGCGCATAATTTGCTATTTGCGACAATGCGAATGTCAATAAAACTCCAAAAACGTTGGCCGGACTGCAGCCTGTGGCTAGAGACATTGAAATCAATTTGAACGCGCAGCCATTTACCGTTAGTCGTCGTACATCAGTCGATCCGCTTGGCAGCCAGACGAAAATTTAACAGCTTTAAGGTCACTTTACAGTTAAACAATGACACAACAGTACATATCATAACAACAATAACGCACTGGCAGCCAAGTGGTTTGCCCGTATGTGTGTGTGTGTGTGTGCGAACAAATTTATGTATATTTTTAATATACGTACAAATTCGCAACACTGGACGCAGACAAGAGAGAGATAGAGAAAGAAAGAGAGAGAGAGAGAGAGACACACGCAGAGAGAAAGAACGAAAGAGAGAGATATTATTAGATAGCAAGCGAGTGAGCAGAAAAAGCTGAAAAAGCTTTGAGACCACTCCCCGAAAAGTTCAGGCGACGGCGCAACGTCGACGAACACAAAACAACCAATCCCAGGCATAAATATACAAAAAAAAAAAAAAAAAACAACATGCACACATACACATGGACAAAGCGAAAAACTGAAACGTACACACACAGTCACACGCACAGCGACAGATAGAAGCAAAAGCAATGTGTTACAATGCAATTTCCCCGCCAAAGCGAATGTTGTTGTTGTTGTTGTTGTTAGTGTTATTGTTGCTGTTTGCCGTTGCTGTTAGGAGACCAACCCAAACTCAATTGTTCGGGCCAAAAGACAAAAAGGCAAGCTTGGAAAACTGGCACAGCCAAAATATGAGCAACAACAACAAAACGAGAACAAGAACGAGAACAAGAACAACAATAACATACATATATACATAACTAAAAGCACAGGGTGCAGCAGCAGTTTCCAATTGGAAGTGCAGTTTGATTTCTAAGGGTTGGGCTGTTGGCGTGATTATGTCAGCAGCAGTACGTCTGTGTGTGTGTGTGTGTGTGCGCCACCTTCACCCACCACCATCAAGAACAGATGACTGCAAAGCAAAGCAGCGGTTCGTCAGTTGCTTTCCAAGCGCTGACGCCGCCGCACTTGCTCTACGAGCGCTCGGTCGTCATTCGTGCGTCGCATTTCGAACTGAAAACTTTGATAACGGTAAAAACGTTGTCGTTACTTCGCCTTGCGTTGCCTTCGTCGCCGTCGTCGCAGTCGCCGTCGCCGTCGGCCAATGGCCATGCGCCAGTGCAAAAACACATAATGCCAAAAATGTGACCATTGTGAATGCTGTTGAATGTTAAACGGTGAACGTGTAGGCAATTCCTTAAGCAAAAGCGGCCACTCCAAAAAGGCTACCCCATATTTATGTTCACACACACACACACACATGCACACATGTGTATATGTCAGCCAGATCTTAGCCAGCACCTAGCCCAATCCACAGCGCGCCGGCATGGAACTTTTGAAGCTAATGATGTTCAAAAGTGACTTTCTGTCCAATGGCAAATGTGACGATCGCGTACCGCCCATTAATCTAAGTCAATTGCCAGATTTTCTGTTGTGTAAGTTAACCCAAAAAGTTGCAAATCTTACAATCCGACAAACTCACACGAGCTCAACTTATCATAGTGCCAGAATATGGTATCGAGAGATATATCTAAGATATCTTCCGTTTTCTCACCTGCAGAATCTTAAAGAAATTTATCAAATACAGCAGAACTTATATTCAGAGATTTTTCTTCTTTTAGTAATGTTACGATTGGAACAACAGATAGTTCCAGTTATATAGGATAAAGATATGGAAATTTGGAGAGTTTAATTCGGAGAGTTTCGGAGTTCTTGCGAATGAAGCACAGAAACTTAAGATATCAAGTCAAGAGACCATATTTTTATCATGATATACTTAATACTCAGATACAAAACAGATTGAAAACAAAATTAATAAATTATTGATTATATTCCAAAAATATAATAATAATATTGGAGGTATTTGAGAAAACATCTGCGAAGTTTTATGACTTTGAGAAATTTCCGTAAAAGTATTATTATTATAAAATCAGATATGTTTCATTTTAAGCAATAGAAGAAAGTTAAATTTGATGACAACGTTATTGTTTTTGTACGTTTTCCTTTGATACCCTGGAATCCATACAAAATGCTTAAAAAGCGGGTATAATGTTTTTTGTGCAAATGTTTAACATTTTTTTTTTGGTTAGCTCGCGTTCCTAGATTTCTTGAGCGAATCTACATCGGATCGGAATCGGAATAAGAAAAATGTATCGTTTACAAAAAAACTCGTTTTTTTTCTGGTCAAGAATCTATTAAAAATTAAAAGTAATAAATGAAACTCATTTATAATTTGCTTAATCGAAACTTAGCAAAAGAAACATTTCGGCATGGTTCTTAGGGTTCGCCGGGCAAATGGCAATTTTCTACATTCAAAACAGGCCTGAATATCCCATTTACATTTTTCATAATGACAGTTTTTAAATAGACGACAAGCCAGATTCAAATTACAAACAAATAGCTCAATTAAAATTCATTTCGAATTGATTTGCGAGAAAACGAGCCGAGAATTTAATAGAGAATTTTTGTTCAAAATGCAAATGGGTAAATCGCAGCAGGAGCAGGGTAGTCGCTAGCACGACCAGAGTTGCCACACACACAATTCGAACAGCCTGAGAGCAGTTTAGCAACAATTGGGTTTGGTAATTAATAATATATGTGAACTTCATGTTTTGTCCACAGCGACGATACCAAAGTGTGGCGGCTGCCACGAGCTGATCCTGGATCGCTTCATCTTGAAGGTGCTCGAAAGGACTTGGCACGCCAAGTGTTTGCAGTGCAGCGAGTGCCACGCCCAGCTGAACGACAAGTGTTTCGCCCGGAACGGTCAGCTGTTCTGCAAGGAGGACTTCTTCAAGTAAGTAAATTTCTCGAACGGCACAGACACAGGCCCAGGCCGAGCCGGAGTGTCGCCATTTGTTGTTGCCGGTTTTGATAAAAATCTCCCGTTGCCCGTTGCCAATGTTCGGGTCGAACAGACGTTATGGTACGAAGTGTTCCGCTTGTGATATGGGCATACCGCCAACTCAGGTGGTCCGTCGCGCCCAGGACAATGTCTATCATCTGCAGTGCTTCCTGTGCGCCATGTGCTCGCGCACCCTCAACACGGGCGATGAGTTCTATCTGATGGAGGATCGCAAGCTCATCTGCAAGCGCGACTACGAGGAGGCCAAGGCGAAGGGTATGTCCGACTCCATGTGCCGCGGCGACACAAACTAAATGACAGGCTGCCCATTGCAGGTCTCTACTTGGATGGCTCGCTGGACGGGGATCAGCCCAACAAACGGCCCCGCACCACAATTACGGCCAAGCAGCTGGAGACACTGAAAACCGCATACAATAACAGCCCGAAACCCGCCCGACATGTACGCGAACAGCTGTCGCAGGACACGGGCCTGGACATGCGGGTGGTGCAAGTCTGGTTCCAGAACAGGTAATCCAACTAAGTGATCCATTTGACCAAAGCTAAACTGATGCTCGGCTATGCTTTAGACGCGCCAAGGAGAAGCGACTGAAAAAGGATGCAGGACGCACGCGCTGGAGCCAGTACTTCCGCTCCATGAAGGGCAACTGCTCGCCCCGCACTGACAAATTCCTCGACAAGGATGAGCTGAAGGTGGACTACGACAGTTTCAGTCATCACGGTAGGTTAACCAGTCACCGCCAACTGCCCAAAACCAAAAACATCCTGTGATCCTCTGATCCTCTGATCCGCAGATCTTAGCAACGACAGCTACAGCACCGTCAATTTGGGCCTGGACGAGGGCGCCTCGCCGCACAGCATACGCGGCTCCTACATGCACGGCAGCTCCAGTCCGTCGCAGTATCCGCCGAGCAGTCGCTCACCGCCTGCGCCCGGCCAGAGCCATACGTTCGGCTCGTATCCGGACAACATTGTGTACACTAATATAGGTAGGGTTTAGCTGTAGTTGCTTTGTACGGGAGTTAACACAGATTTGTTGCCCTTTCTCTTTAGATCATGCTGTTGGCTCCAATTTGCTGCCCAGCAAATCGCATCATCGCCTGCACAGTAGCAACAATGTTTCGGATCTGAGCAACGATTCTAGTCCCGATCAGGGCTACCCTGACTTTCCGCCTAGTCCCGACTCTTGGCTCGGCGACTCCGGCAGCACAAACAATACCAGCAACAACAACAACAACAACAACAGCAGCGCGAATAGCAACAACAACAACAACCACAGCAGCAGCGGAGGCGGCAGTGGGGCGGCATCCAATGCAAATGCTACCACAAATCCAAATCCAAATCCCATTCCCAATCCAAATCCGAATCCAGCAACTCCCGGCGTACATTACTGATACTCAAAAATACTTTTGCGTTATTTTGAGATGCAGTCGCGCAATTTGCTGCTCGCAGCTGCCCAACAACAACAACAACAACAACAACAACAACAGCAGCAGAAGCAGCGACAGCACTAGCGACGCCATTTTGAAAGCTTTCGAGCGTCTTAACAGCGCTCAGCCAGCGAACTAACAGAAAAGCTTAACAGTTAACAGCGCCGAGCTTTCGTTGACTGCATTTCGGTAAATGCACCAATTTTATTACGTTTACTAATGTAACACAATTTGCTCAAGTTTCAGTAACTTTTTTTTTCATTTTGTTTATACTCGATAGAATGATTAGAATACGAGTAACTTGACATGTACATAACGAGTACACACATACATGCACACACACACACTCGCACACATTGAAGGATATGTATGTGGACATGCTTTAAAACAAACTGGCTTAAATAATAATGTTTAATGATTTTTCACTACGATTTATCACTTCCTGAACCACATTTGTTTGTACTTTGAACTTTGATATTTTAGTGTAATGTAAATATTGTATATTTGTGTATAGTAAAAAAAAGAAAGAACTACATTTTAAGTTAAATTAAGTCCGTATAGGGGGGGGGGCAGGACAGAGCACAACATTTATTATGCTGAAAAAGTGCCCCCAAAGAAGTTATTTATTGCTTTATATAGGAATACATGAATTGCATAGGAGAAATATCAATTACGAAAAAGTGATGTCGTATATACATACATATATCTAAAGTAATACCAAACAAATATATATAAAAATAAAGATTTCAAGCAAATAGAAATTTCAGCAAAATGCAAACTACGTAAAAAAAAAACAAATGATAACGAATTTTTAAATTTATTGTGTATTACAATAAGTTTAATTAATTCAAATAAATGCGATACAATTAATTACTATTTGACATGTAAGAATAAAAGATACAATTGTTAAAGATCACGAGTTTTTCTCTAAGAAGTACCGAATTTTTCAAGCTCCAGACTTTTTTTCTAAATTTGTTAAGCATATGTTCAGACTACAATTATCAGTTATAATTATGAATAATTACATTATTCCCTAATGAAGATCGGCGTGGGAAGCACTACGTCAAATATCTGTAAATATCTGAATATATCAGCCTATCGTGAACAAACGGTACAGTTACTCGACTCAACTCATTAATCAACTCGTTGCAGAAAAAAAGTTCTTGAAAAAAGTGTAGTGTGTTTTTTGGGTTTGGTGGTGAGTCGTGCCGGGCATTACACGAGCACGCTTCACGCTCTAAATTGAGGCACGCGCTCATCTCTAATAGGACTTCGTCTCAGTTGCAATAATGTTATTACAAATATACAATTATATATGTAGGAAAATCAGAAATATTAGATATATAGAAATGAGCATAAGACAAGTACCTTAGCAACATATACTAATTGCTTAACCGCAGGAATGTCCAACACAAATACGCATGATCATGATATTATGATTTGATCTCACTTAAGATTTCCTAGCCATTGAGTAATAATTAGACTATTACTCAAAAGTCGAGAGAGTTGAGTTGAGTCGAATTGAATCAGAGTTCTTTGCTTTGCTCTCACTGCAACGCTCTCCCAGTCTCTCTATCGTACGCTCCTTCTACTATTTCATTCATACTGAGCGCACTGAGCGCTGTTGGTACAACTGTTTCGCTCGGATGTTCTAGCCTGTCGCCCGCCTATTTGCTTAGTCTCTTTTCCAACGTTCGCGCAACGACATCGAGTGCTGAGGGAGCTTTTGATGCGCAAGGCGCCTAGATTTACTAATTAGTTGCTTACAATTATATAAAATGATTAAATAATGTTTTATCAAGTTCAATTTGCAGTAATTAAAAGGCCCCACATTTCTACGGTGCGTGCATGAGTTCGATTTCTATAAAAAGCTGCCAAGCAATATCTTTCCAATTCAATTTTTGTTTTTGTTGTCCGTGAGTGTGTGCGTGTATGTGTGTGTATATGTGACAGAAAATGTGCTGCCAAATCGAAATCGAAATACAAATGTCGTAAAATGTTCTATTTTTATTTTGCAGTAAATTCAACCAAGCGCAGCTACAGCAATTTATTGTTGTTGTCGTTGTTCAGCTGTGTGTGAGATGCAAATGTGTAATATGTTTTTGTTTCTGTTGCGACGCCAAATTGCATTTGCGGCCGATACGCCGCTCGATCCTTAAATTGCCGCATCGGATACATCGGCCACAGCCCCACAGTTAACAGTCAAAAGTACTTTCTCACTGATTTTCTTCAAGTCTTAACAAAACGACCAATTCCCGATAGAGACGCGTCCGCTCCGTGCGTTTACCAATAATGCAAATTCAATGTATGCCAATATTGAAAGTAATTTTCGTGCTCTCAACAATTGTCGCAGTCACAGGTAACACGCACTCGAATAATAATGGCACGGCATCAGAGTTGCCAGATCAGCATGCGAATGCAGCTGTTTACTGTTGTGTGTGTGTGTCTCATTGCATTCCTCTCTTCTTTTCTTGGCACTCGTTGTGGGGTCGGTCGGTGCTTGGCCAGATTGTTGCGCGAGCCGGATTTTACTGTTGCGCCAGCAAACGCTGCAGATTGAGGAGCATGTAGTCCAGCTGGTCAGCCGAATGGAGCTACAGCAGGCACTCAATCTCGATGGACAGCTCTCTGAACCGGATACATTTGGCAACACGGCACAAATGCCGCAAGAGTCGCTGGATCTGGCCATCCACGGCGAATTGGCATCAATTGCGACAACGGAGCAAGACACCAGCACAGAGCCCTGGTCCAGTGAAGTAGAAACGACGACTACGACAAATTCAACCACAACAAGAACAACAGCAACAACAACAAGAACAATTGCAAAATCGACTATCAAAACGGCAACTGGGGAACCGCCGCCCAATGACAGCACAGTGCAACTGGCAAGAGATGCCGCCATTTCTGAACTTAACGAAGCTCTAATGACGACGACGGCGACGCTTACGCCGACGACACCGATAACAACAAATGGCACTGGTAACCGAACGTTATCGAAAGAGTTTAACTTTAGGATTCCCTGCAGCGAAGAATATTTAAAGTATTTCTGCCTGAATGGCGGCAACTGCTTTCGCTGGGAAAGTTCCAGCGGCTTTAGTTACTGCGAATGCGCCAATGGCTATGGGGGCGAACGGTGCGATTCAAAGACTGAAAGCGGTAAGCAGCGCCCGGCTATATCTAATAACTATGTATATATATATATTTATATGTGTGTGTATTTTTGGTTGCCTTTGCAGGAGTTTATGTACCGTTTCGGCCCAGAAAACGGCTGCTAAAGACGGCGCATGTTGTCTTCTCCTTCCCCATGCTCATTCTGCTCTCGACTGTCTACGTTCTGTTCGGCGCCGTGTATATGCTGCGCAATGTCTCTGCGCAGCGGCGCAAGCAACAACAGTTGCACTTGCACAAGCAGCGCTTTTTTGTTAGCTGTTAAAAACAAATATCGGGATCGAGAACGGAATCGGAATCGGGGTTGCCAGATTGCTTTTCCCTCTATCTTTCATTTTTCAATTTGGTTGAAATAACCAATTAACGTTATTATTGATTTTTTTTTTTTGATTTGGAAACGTATTTTTGTTTCATGATTTGTTATAAATGCCAATTGAAGCATTTTTCTAAGATTCTTTCTTAACGTTGCGCAACGCTTTAATTTATTTAATTACATATAATTTGTTTAGTAAATTCTTTGTATTTAGTTGCAAAATAAGAGCGCTCTTTGCTTTAGAAGCTTCGTTTTAAGCTTAGTAGATTTGTTTTGTAGTAACATTTTGTTACGCTATTTAGTATGTATTTAATATTTAAACTTTAGCGTGTATCACTGTTATTATTATTTTTGTAACACTTTGTTACGCAACAAAATCAAACAAATATTGTAATTAATTCTTGTATTTATGAACAAATACTTTTTGTAATGCATTAAAATCGGGACTCAAAAGTTTATAAAACTTGAAATGTTGCATGCCTTTTTGTTTATATCTATATATATTTATTATTATTATTTTATTTGTTTTTCTTGTGGAAGGCAGTTTTTGCTCTTCGAACCATTCCAATATCAAAGCTCAAGTTCAGTTTTTAGTGGAGCACACTTGCGTTTTATATTTTATAATATATATTTATCCAATATTTCGTCCAAAAATTCTTTACAAATTTCTTAGAACTTACAGTTAAATGTATAGTAGAAAATATTCAAAAAATTCTTAATTTCATCATTTCATGGATGATTTTTGTTTTATATCATGATCATCAATATGACAATGGTATGTATGCGTGTGTGTGTGAGTGTGTATATGTGTGTGTGATTTCTTATAAATGCGTGTTGATGGATTATTTTACGAATTTACGTGTGATTGCAAAATTGCCAGCATCAAAATTCAGTTGCACCAACACTTGAAAACCCGTTTCAATCGACTATTGGTAGGCGATGGGCGTGGCTGGAGGTGGAGTTGAAGTTGGTGTTGTTGGTGGTGGTGGTGAAGTTGGTGTTGGTGGCGATCGTTGTGTGGTGTGTTAGGTGTGTTTCATATATTCTGTATTTTCGTGCTCTTGAATATATGCTGATGTAATCTTGGATTAGGGATATGAAATTCGTACAAAAATGATTAAAATATGTAAATGTTAAAAATGTATTTTGCTTTTTTTTGCTCTCTTGTTTATCATTTAATTGTTGGTTTTACGTTGCGTTGTTTTCTTATTTGCTTTTATCATTTTTTTCTTGTTTTTTTTTTTTTTTTATTTTTTGTTGGTTTTTTAATAATATGTAATATATATAATAATTATTAGTATTATTCGCATGTCACGGGCAGGTCCTGTGTTGTAACATCTGCCGCGGCGTTCTTCTCCTTTAGATCCTTGGCGATATCCTAAAAGAACATGCGAAAGAAATGTTATTAACATTTATTGTCATATTAAATCGCATTTAAACATTTTGTCAAATTAAAGGAGCATGAACACAGAGCGAAAGGAAAAGCAACTTTAAGCACAACAACAACAATTAAAATATAAAATGGCAATGACCTTTGTTGACGTTACAATTAAACAACAAAAATAATTATAGCAAAAATTATGTATGGGAATTAAAATCAATTTTAACGGCAGTTTCTCACTTTTAAATAAAGTACTGTTGTAAAGTCTGCGTTTAGATGCGTTACTGCGGCCGAACAGAGTTGTTAGATCGGGCAACTGGAGTAAGGTGTGTGTGTGTGCGTGTTTGTGCGTGTGTGTGCATGTTTGAGTGTGGGTGGCTTTAGGATTAGGATGGGTAGGCAAGAAAGGCGTCAGTTTGCGTTTGTATTTTGTTAATATTAAAGTACATGGATAATCAACGAGCACAATTACAATACAATTTAAACTTGCGCGCAGTTTGTTTTAGTAACATTCCATTTCACATTTCATTCACATTCACATTCAAAACGTAAGATCATGCAGTTAGTTACCAGCAAAAGAGCGACCTCAAGAGTACCACCTATTAACATAGCCATTAACTTAACAGACAACTGCAGAACGGACTGCCGCAGTTTTACAGGAGAGAAACCATTTACATTTTAACATTTACAAATAACAGAGTTAACAGAGCTTGGCTGGGCAAGCGCAAAACAACAACAGAGCTGATGCAATTCGAGAAGCACAGAAAGAGCAGAGAGCAGAGAGCGGTGAGCGGGGAAAAACAGTGATAGAGCGCAGCCCAACGCAGGATATGATACCGGAATTAATTAAATGATGCATCTGATTGCTGTGTGGAGCGACGACTGTTAAGACGCGTTACGACTATGTCAATGGGGTAGAGTGTGGTGGTGGTGGTGGTGGTGAGGTAGAGTTGAGTTTTGATTGAGTTCGTTTTTTATTCACCTCAAGATGAGCAGCATCTTTTATGTCCACGTATGCATCCAGCTTTGTTATGCTGCTGCTGCTGTTATCGCTGCTGATCATTTTATTGTTATCGTTATCGGTATCGTCATCGCTATTTATTTGCATATCCTCCAGCTCCGGCACACTTTCAATTGTCACCTTGCTATCGTTCCCCCGCAAGCTGAGATCATCTGCAACAGCGCTGATTTTCTCGCTGATAACATCCGGCTGTTCAGCAATATCCCCTGCCTCGATGATGTCCTCAGCCACATCATCATTCGCTTTCTCATCGCAAATTATCTCTGGCTGTTCCACCAGCTTTTCATCATCAACCTGCTCTGGTTTTTTCAGTTGCTCCTCCGCCTCCGTCTCAATGTTATCATCATCGTCGTCATCAACATCGGTAACAATCTTTACGGCAGAACTCATTTGCTCCTCACTGATGTTCTCTAGAATTTCGTCCTTCTGCTTGTCCTGTTCCGTTACGATATCGGCCGCCTGCTCGGTTATTTCCTCAACAAATGCATGCGCCTGGTGTTCAATATCGGCCAAAAGTGGACCATCCTCCGCTGTGGCTGGTGGTGCATCAATGTCCTTCTGCTTTGCCTGCTCGATGTTCACGAAGCTGTCGTCATCGTCGTTGTCGTGCGTCTCATCGTCTGTGGTCAATGCAAATGCCGAAACACGCGACGGCGGCGGAGACTTGGGCAGTGGTGGTGGCTGACTAAACTCAACTGTAACCACATTGGCCTCGGCGCTAGCCGCAACAGAAACTAAGACATCAGCATCAGCGGGATTGGGCTCTGGGACGCATATAATTGTTGCGTCGGATTCAAGTTCTAGTTTGGGCACAGGGGAAACACAAACCACAGCCGTTTCGGGTACGAGCTCAGCCTGGGGCTCGCTTTCAGCGGGAGGTGCAATAAAAACAAAACCCTCGGAATCGGAAGGCTCACTAACAGCCGCTATAATAGCGGCAACCACTTGTTCTTCCTCGGCGTCAACGTCGGCGTCGGCGTCGGCGTCGGCTTGCACTTCGTCCTGCGCTTGGGAGGTGGGAAGATAAACGGAATTGTCGGTGGTGGTCTTGGTGTTGGTGGTGATGTTAGGTATTGTGTTATTTTGGGTGTTGGTTGATTGGGTCTGAACTAACTCTGCGGCGGCAATGGTCTCTGTCTCAGTGATTGTGATTGTGGTGTTCTCAGTGGCTGTGGTTCTTGTTGTTGTTGTTGTGATACTCGTATTTACAGTGTTCTGGTTGTTTGTGGTGTCTAGTTGTTGTTGTTTTACCTCGATTTGCGACTTGTTCTTAATTAGCTCGGCCTCGGACTCGGACTCGGCGACAGGTGTTGGCGGTGGCGTGGCAGTCTCATTGTTCTCGCCAACTCCATTTGTGCCGCCGTTCTGATGATGCGGCGGCTCCTCACCCACACTGTTGCCTGTTACTGCTGCTGCTGCTGCCTCCGGCTCGGTTGGGGATTCAGCCAAACCGTTCTTGTCGCCATTGGTCAATACGGGCTCGACTGCGCCATGACCGTTGGTAACAGCTTCGGTGGTATCGTTGCTACTGACGGGCTCCGGCACAGCGATCTGCTCGACAGCCTCAACCTTCGACTCGGTGGTGTTGGTGGTTGGTGTAGTTTCCGACTTGACTGGCTCCTCGCTAACTGCTGGCGCGGATATCTTGTCAGTTCCGTTCGCCTGTGGCTCCTGTGGTTGCTTTTCCTGTTCGCTGCTGGCTGCACCATTTTCGGTGGGTTTCGATTCAACCTTGGTCGCCGCATCTGCAGGTGCTGCGTCCGCGCTTTGCTGTAAAAGCACAAACATTTATTTGTTACTAGAAGCTATAAAAATATAAGCTGCATTTAAGAGTTAACCTCTTGTTTGTCTGCGGCAGCTGCTTCTGGTGCTCCTGCTGCTCCTTCGGCTTCTGCTGGCCGCTCCGCCTCGCCATTCGTTGGCGCTGACTCGACGCCGGCGGCCGCTGCTGCAGTTGGCGAGGCAGGCTCCTCTGTCTTGGCTGGCTTCTGTTTGTCCTTTTTGCCAAACGATATGCTTCGGAATGACCATTTCTTTTTCACCTTATCCTTCTTGGACTTGGACTTGATGCTCTCATCGGCCAGAGGTGAGATTTCCTCGGCACCGCTGCCCTCCTTGAGCGAGCCCGAGGCTGCGACTGCCTCATCTTTAGCAGATTCAGCAGACGCATCACCGGCGGCGACATCAGCATCTGCAGTTTTTTTCTCGGTGGTTAAATCTTTGTCGTTTTCAGAGTTCTCTTCGGTCTCCTTTTTCTGCAATTGCATCAATTCAAAATAAGTTTAAGCATCGACTCCGGGCCATTGTGGTTGGGACTTACCTCTGCGGCGCCCGCTGCATCCTCGCTGCCGCCGGGACTCTTTTCCTTTGTCGTTGCCGCATCGCCATTTAATGCGGGCGGCGCCGACGTCTGATCGACATCTTCAATTTTCTCAACTTTGCCAGCGACTTCGTCGCCCTCGCCAACCTTTTTCGGATCGGTGGTGATATCAATTGAACGCTTGCTCTGAGCTTTACCCATTTTTGCTGCTCCTCTTTAATTGCTAATTGGTTATGTGTCTGTTCTGTAAATACGGGTGGAGGGGTGGAAGGTTGGAAGGGGGTTGTGCAACAAGAATTTAGAAAGAAAATAACATCAAATTAGTTGCCTTCTATTTTATATATATATATATAGAATTATTTTTTTTGTTCTGCTGATTGTTATTTATGTATTTAGGTAATTATATAGATATATGTATATTTAATTTGATTTCTTTAGACGTATGTTTTTTTTTCCGCAAGTGTCGAGTGTCGAGGAGTATCGAGAAATGGCAACGCACACTTTAAATTGAACTTGCCATTTTATTTTTATACATTTGACATTTTAATGCACGCCAACTTCTGCTGCTGCAGCCAACGACAACAGCTACAACTATGCCTCTTCTTGCGGCTAATCTGATAACGCCAAGATACAAAAAAAACATTTTACGTTCTCTTGTTTTCTTTGTGTGTGCACCTTGCCTTATCAGAACAGCGAGAAGACGCAATACGTGCCTTTCCGAAAACAGTGAAAACTTCATGGAAAACACCCGAGTTTATCCTGGGAATACATTTCAATTCATAGAGATAACTGTGGACCATTGCGATTATTTAGATACTTTTTTAATCAAACAAATCATCGATTGAGGGTTTATCAATTTAGTAAGGAACTAAGTCACATATTCATGAATCTGAAATTGTAATTCTGAATACTTTAAATAAACGCTCTTGTAATTTTGTTTAAGTTTTAAACACAGTTTCTGACCGAAATAAAACCTCGAAATTTAGGAAACACAAATTTCGGACTTTTAAAAGTAATGTAAGTATTCGGAGTATGCCTACATGTATCACAGTTATTTGTCGCTAATCTGTTCAGCTAGACAACAAGACAAAACAACAAAAAGCATTAAAAACAAATGAATAATCAAAAAAAATGTTGCGCCCGGCAAATGAATCATCCAATCCAGGAAATATTTATGAAGCAACACATGACGACGTTGACAGAGGCTGACACATACAGGGCAAAAGAGCGCGAGAGAGGGAGTGCGAGCGAGAGAGGTAGGGCGAGCGAGAGAGGGAGCGAACGCGCGAGAAAGCGGGCGCGGCATAAACCCCCTTTTTACTGTTCCTGATACTGGCGTAGTATGCGTCACTTTCGAAATCGAATTACACGCCTCGACTCTGGGTAAATGAAACAGAAACCCAGCCGCACAATTTAAACGAAGCGAGAGGAGAGCGAAAGGGGGGGGGGGGGGGATTCAAGCACAAAAATTAAAAAGTGAAGTTTCTTCGTGTTTAGGGGTTGCAAAAAGAAAAAAAAGCCGCGTGTACATGTATAGAGGAGCGGCGGCTGCTGAGAACCTAAGCTTGAAGTTGTCTTTGTTCGCGTTCAAGTTACCTTTGGATGTATTGATTCGCGGTCAGACTAGAACAGCTGCGGTAACAGCTGCTTCTGGAATTCGTGCCGATAAAAATATCATTACGATACTTTTTATTTTAGTGAATTAAACAAACTATAAATTCGATATTAGGTACAAAAAATTCCATTCTAATGTAGATATTTCACTTATGAGTTAAAACTATTCAATTTGTTACTAACTCAATTTTATACATTTGGTTAGATTTACGCACAGTTCATTGTAGCAGGGGCTGACTGTATGGAATGAATACAAACGAAACCGAAACGAAACATTTTCGGAGTAATCATCACATTTCATTGGCTGTTCATCGATTCGTTCAATGAACCCAATTCACATCAATGAACACCTCAAAGACGAGTGCTTCAAATGTTTTGGATCCACCTGAAGATTAATATATATGTATGTATAAGTGTATCTGAAGCAAATTTGACGCTAGGCATAAAAGAAAACAACAATTTGAGGCAGCAATTAATTTGATCGTATAATTTCAAATGAAATATCCAAGCGCTTCGAATAGAATACATGCAAAAATGTTGATGAGTAATCGCAAGAATATGCCGACACATACACACACACACAGAGCCATACACACGTGCACACACACACACACGCAAGTAAACACAGGTGTAGCCGTAACTCAACCCTTACCAAAAATAGACTGCACAATAACCAACTGTGCGCGTACTAAGCCAAAGCTGGCAACAACAAAAATATAATAAAAGCGCAAGTAAAATTGCGGCATGACGCATCGTCAAGTCGAAAAGGACAAGGCAACAAGGATAAAGCGAGCTTGTGCGCAGAGGGTTGCCGGCCGGCGTTTCAATTCTACTACTACTACCACTACTACTACTACTACTTCTGCATGCATGCTTGTGCCATCAAATACTACTACACTTACGCAATGTACAGCAACAACGTCGACGGTCATTGCCCGTCGTTGCCATGGCAAGGGCGCGACGCAGCGCGGCGAAGCTAACGCTGACGCTCGCGTCGACGCTACGTCACAGCGCAGAGGCAAATGGGGGGCGTGTGAAAGTACTTGGGCGGCGCCGCAGCCCACATAAAACAACAAGGGGCACCAAAAATGTGACAGCGTTGCCAGACTGACGGCGCACGGCATGACATGCAGAAAATGCGAGGGACAAAGCGCGCTTACAAGATTAGCATAGCCAGAGTCCAAAATATATACATATGTACGTAACACAGTGATTGACAGCCTCTTATTGGTTGTTCCATTAAAATTACCCAATTTCGGCGGCGTCGGCATTATTCAGAGGGCAGACATTTCGTGTAAGTTTCTTTTTTAGTTAATTTTATTTAAACTTGACCTTTTAGTTGTCGCACACACACGCAATAATGGAAATGCCGCTGGCCTCTCACACCTCTTACTTTTAAGTCGCGCCTTTGTGTTGCATTCAGTAAAAGAAAATCTATAAACGAAGGGACAAAGGAAAGCAAAGAGCACACACAAACACACACATACACACAGACGCAAGGCAGGCTCGGGAACAGAGTGCTGTCGTCTATAAATAAAAGCGCATTTATCAACAATGAAGCATGTTCGAAATGCAACAACAGCTACACAAAGAGCAATGTATACATGTATACATGTATACATGTATACATACACTTGCGTAGTTTTGTGTGTGGATGTGTTCAATTGTCTGCTCTCTATCAATTTTGACACTTTAAGCTGTTGTATTGCTGCTGCGGCTGCGCTTTCAATTTGACGCCTGCTCCTGCTCCGCTTCCCGCACCGCTACTAGAAGATCATGCTTTGAGACCAGAGACGATACGTAAATTAAATTGATTGTGCAGGAATGCGTGAGCTAGTGTCGGGGACCGGCCGGCCGGCCCAACTGGACAAACATTAATTTCATGTCATGCTACACACAAACGCACATAAATATGTCTGTATGTATCTGCGCATACAATACACAGATTCTAGTTGGGTTGCATTGTCGGGCATTTATAACATTTATAGCGCTGAGAGCTTGGTAAGTGCGCGCGTACTTAAAACCGCAAAGCAGACGTAATTGAACTTTTATAAGCTAATCTAAACGAACGCCCACACCCTCCCTTTTCGTGGCACTACACACATACACACACACTTGACAGCTGACACACGCACACACACAATTGTACACATACTTGCATAGGACTGCATCATCTCGCCTCTTTCCTTACAATTTCATCAATCAGCCGCCAGGCGGCGACAGTCGCATGTGCAAATACATACATACACACATGCATACATACATATGTGTGTATAAAGTATCGTAATAAGAAAAGGAGCGAAGTGCAGTAGACTCAACAATTAAATACAAACGCAAATACGCACACACACTATAACATATGTTCACAGACCCAAGTGCAAGCAGTGCATATTTGTTACTTTGCTATTTGAGACGCATCCATTTGTATTGCTCCTACTGATAAGCCACGCCTAAATATAGCTCAAAACAAAATAACAAATCGCAGACACACATACGTACGTACATATATACCTAAAAATATATAGAAAATGCACTTAAATACAATAAATGCACATAACACAAATTGTCAAGAGTAAATATATGTAACAACAACAACAACAACAGCATATTGTGGCCCACGCAGCAAAAGGCGTCAGCAGTCCAGAAACTGAGGGGGAAGCGCACTGTGAAAAATGTGTGCGAAATGCAGACAACGGCAACAAGAAAACGAAGAGCAAGAACAAGAACAATAACAGTCGCTTCAAATGAGCGCGTCTCGGAGAATGCCTCAAATAACCGGATATAATTGGTTAGCGCAGTGTTGCCGTTGTTGTCGTTGTTGTTGTTGTTGTTTTGGTAGTTGTAGTTTTCGTATGGGCTGCGACAATATGAAAAGGATACATAAAATAAGTGCCATAATTAGTTACAAACTGAAAACTCTCATATACCACATACGAGCCGCACGCAATACAACAATACAAATGACAAAACGAAGAAAACATTTTCAATTATCATTTCCGGTCAGCTTTTGACGGACAATGATGATCCGGCATTGTGGTGAAGTATGCATATCTGAGCGAAGCGGACTGAATTCTTCACAATTATTGATATGTACACTGTTATTGTACTTAATGCGCATAGCCCAAATATAAACATACATACGCACACACATACACATATGCATTACCATAACGGTAGTCTCAGATACTTTGCTATCGAAGCGAACCCCCCAACGAATGATAAACTGAAATACATATATATAAATACATTTATAAAAAGAAAATACAGTAATAGAGAGGAAGTGTCTCTAGAAGGCAACAACAACAACAACAACAACAAGAACCCAATACAAGGCAAGGCAAGCCAACGCACACTCAATTGATAAACGAATAAAAACCGAGGCACAAAGAAACTTCCTATCAATTGCATTGCATGTGGTAATTGTATGTGATTCAGAGTCGGCGCTTAACAATAGAAATGACGGTTTAACTTCTTAACATTTTTCACTTGAATCCAATCTAGTATATATAACACAAAGTGGGCGCTACGTGACCCCATATACACAATCCACATATACTAACACACACACACACACACACACACACACACACACACACACACACACATGTACACATTTTCCCCGTACATGTATGCAAATACATAACTGCGCTTCAGTCGAGATATCTGCGACTTACTGACAGCAGCATATCAAATGATAAGCTAAAAAGAAATTGATCTTGGCAAACAATATGCATACGTAGACTTATCATCATTTCGCGGGCGTGTGTGCTTGTTGCGATAACGCAAAACGTAGTACTAGATAAAACAAAAAATCAGCGTTAAGCAAATCTTCAAGTTCCAGAACTTGTAATCTCGAAAATTCCATGCCTGTTTCCACATTATATAAGCCAAAGGTATCAGCCAGGCACAGCCTAACAAATCGTTTTTAAAACAACTATAAAACTTAAATTAAATATTTTAAAAATTTTTAAGAATTTAAATGATTTCGTATGAAACTGCAAACATTAATCAAACTGAATGTTTACTTCGGGGCACAGTTTTCCCACAAGGCGGCGTTGATCCCGTTTACCAAGAGCAGGCAGTGTTGCCCTGTTTAGCTATATTATAGCCAGATTTGGCGGAAACTAGGAAGCATTCTAAAAGCCAATAAACTGGCTAGTTGGATAATGAACTGATGATATTACAAATCCGATTTACTGAATATTGCCTTACAATAAAATTAACCTTAAATATGCAACACATTAAAATGTAGTTCATTTAACGCAAATTGTAAAATTCTGGCAACACTGAATGTCGGTTTTACAATTGTAGCCAAAAACTTGAAACACGCACACAGTCAAAACTCGCAATATTGTCGAAGGATGCGGATGCAAGTAGAAAGCGTAGCTAGCAAAAAAAAAAGAAGTGGGCTGCGGCTGCTGGTGGAACCGGTTGTTGGTGCCATTCTTGTTCTCTTCCTCTGTTTCGGTCTTTGGATTTTGCGGCTAATTAAGGAGTATGATTGTGTGTGTGTGTGCGTGTGCGAGTAGTTTAATAAAAAGAAGTTGTTATAAAAGTTGTAGAAACAAAGGCGAATATCAATTAGTCACCCATGTTGGTGGTGGGCCGTTTGGGTGCTTGATTTTTACCTAGAATGAATGAGTTGTCTCACAAGTGGCGCGCGCTGTCGGTATTCTGATTAGAAATTCAACGCGCTGCACGCTTTGTCCGCACCACTTTGGTATTGTAAACGGCATTTTAATACAACAATAAATAATTCATAAGACAAAACGACGAATGGCGAAAATCGACGCCCGCTGCTTCTGTGCATACATACTTCCGGTACTTACTCTTTGTCGTGTGTCGCGTCAGCTGCGCGGGTGGCCACTGCTGATTTTGCGAGTAGAGAAGAGAAGAGCTATTTCTTGCAATTGTTTGGCACAATGAGCAGAAGAGCTTTTAATTTAACAGTTAATAACGGTTGAAGCACTTTCGTCAACACACATGCACACACACAATGAATGCACTGCCAGAGAAATTGCCCGATTCGTAATGTTCTGAAAAAGCCGACGCACAAGAACCGAACACTAAACCGTCCAGCTTAAATAACAAACAACGACTGCTGCTGCCAGACTCGCGATCAGCGACGAAACAGAAGCAACAGAAAGCAGCAGAAAAGAAACTTCTTCTTCAGGCGCTTGCAGTGTAAGCAGAGCCAGAAGCAGAACAGTAGACAAAGAGAGAAAGGCCGGAAACGTCGGGAGAGGCGTAAACAGCTGAAATGCGGGCTCCAGAGGCAACAATATTGCATTAAATGACCATCAGCAGCAGCTATCGATAAAAGCGATAGTGATATTTTTTTGTTGTTTCTTTTTGTTGTTGTTCTTGTGCTGCTGTTGCTGCTGCTGTATGCGTGCAATGCGTAAGGAGTCAATAACAAAACTAATGAGCCTTGACGGCGGCAACGACACACACACACATGCATACATACACATGCACACTTTATTGCTTTATTTTGCCATTCATACTTCACACAATGACCCCACATGGCAGCAAGCGGGCTCTGTTGCAGTACGAGCTTTAAATAAACAATAGCACTGCAAGAAAAGGGAGGGAGTGTTGTAAAACGTAAGAGTTCAGCCAAAGTGATATACTTGGTAACTTTTGTGTTGAATAGTGTCTGTTAATTTGCTGAAATTGAAGCTGATTATCGAAACGTTTATCATTTAATTGAAACGAATTCGAATTCGGCGACTCTTATTGATAACTGCATATGACTGCACGCTTAAAAAAAACAACAAATATTTTTAGGTTTCCAATGCCAAAGTGTTGACATGCCTTGTCAGTGCCCCCACCAACACACACACATACACACACGCACTCATAATCAACATGTGCGTAAAAGATGTTCTTGAGCAGCGCGCAGTCACTCTATTTTCTCCTGAACAGCCGCCATTGCCATTTTCTCTTTTATTTATACACATACAGACACATGTATGTGTGTATTTATGTATATGTGGGTGTGTTGCGTTTTGTTGCTTTCAATATTCTTGTATTTTTTCATCAAGCCAGCAAATTTTACCGCTTCCTCCAACCGGTACAAAAACCCAGCCTTACCACTAGAAATACTATTGCCAAGTAGTTTTTCCTACGTACAAAGCGTATGTACATACCTATTTACAGTTATGTATACATGTGCCCAAGTGTTTGTTTATTTATAGTGATCGGTGGCGCGCAATTTAAATTGTTATAAATGCCAATTCACTAAAACAAAAAAAAAAAAAAAAAAAAAAAACAAAACAAAACACAACGGCAGCAGCCTTTTATATGAAAAATAAATATGCCATATTCAAAAATATTAGTAGCCAAAGCAAAAAATCAATCCGCAGCAATAACAACAAACAAAGCAATAAGATGAGCAGCACACGAAACAAGAGACGGCGACGCAGCCGACGTCAGGTCGGGCCGGCCGGCTGGTCGCAGATAAGCAGCGGCCACGGCTTTGAAGCAATGCTGCCGGATCGGCACAAATTGCGTTGTTCGAGAAAGGCAGGCAGGCACTTTTCTTGTTATTGCATGAAAACCCTGTACTTGAGTGAAAATGTGGTCGCCGTAACGATAGATAGTGCAACTGATTGGAATATCAGAAAATATCAATTTTGAAAAAAAGTCACTTTCCTAAACACATTAAATCTTAATTTCATCATTTTTTTTATGTATTTATAGTTCGAAAAAGCGAATTCCAAATATGTTGTATATATATTTTCTTAAGTGGCTGTTAAATAAAAGGCAGACCACCAGCTGCCAGACAGCTTGAGGCATTTTAACGACTTCTGAATTGACTAAGAAAGATTATACTTCTTTCTGCCTATTATATTTAGTTTTGGATCAAGATACTCGAGATTGCCCACGCCCAACCGCAAGTTGCACTTGGCAGAGAGTACGTAACGGTATTGCAAATATAAGCCACAAAATTGTTTGCCTTTATGGCAACCACAGTCGGCAACAGTCGTTCAGATCCCTCAATAACAAAAACAATTTCGAGCGAGTGACAAACACTACACCCCCTCCCCCTCCATCAACAAACGTTTGTAATTTGAAGCGACTTCAATCCAGCCCCGAGCTAAGCTAAAATGCGACTTAGAATGCCAGACCAACATAAAGGACGGATATACTGTGAACACTTTTATAACGAATACTTTTTAGCTGTTAAATTAAATAAAATTAAAAATAGTAAATATCAATCACGATACTTTTGAATCTAGTTGAATTGTATTGGTAATATCGGCAAATGCACTCTGGCAGAAGAGTTTTCACCGCGATGAGTGCATATACATGCACATACACACACACAGGCAGACACACGCGCACAAACACACAGACAGACACAACATAAGCAGCAACGCCAGTTAGGGCGGTGGCTGGCTGCTGCCTGGCAGCAGGCTAACTACTCTCGTGTATTTTGTTGCTTCACTGACTGCAAACTTGCGACGCAATATTTTTATAACAGAGGTAGGTGTTTTTTGCTTCTCTCTCTCGCTCTCTCTGCTGCCCACTTTTTCATTTAGAACTGAAACGATCCTCGGCTTAAGCTTCTGCCGAAAAAACTGGACGAAAGTAAAAGCCAATACAATAACAATACAATAACAAACTGTGATCATTAGGCAAGGATATTTTTAGCGTACAAGTCTAAGTGCAAAAGTGCTGGCAAGTGTAATCAGGCGTAGAATGCTTAAACAAAGACAAGACAACGACAATGAAAAATAAGTCAAGTCAGGCAACTTGAACGAACAAGGCAACAGCCGCAGACAACACACACACACACACACACACACGCATTCGTACTCTTACTCACACAACAAACATGCATGTGCATGCATATACACGCATTTACAAAAGAAAGAAGCGACAAGAAGCAAGGAGTGTACGAGTGACAGCACAAAGCGTAAAAAAGGATAAATGAGGCACGCAAGGGAAAGAATGTTGATAAGCAACGAAGAGCAGCAGGCAGGGAATAGAGAGCGAGAGAGATAGGCATACAAAAGGAAAGAGAGGGAGAGACAGAGAGAGAGTCAAACGGATACAAAGCCACCGGCAGCGACGCCGACAGCGGCGACGTAGTGGCAACGCCGACGCAACTGCAGGCGGCACACCCAAAATTGAGAAAAAGGCTGCAAACAACGCTAAAAACTATTAACAACGAGGCGTAGTTTTAGGGGGTGCGATTTAGCTTCATTGCAATAAATAGCCGGCCATTTATATATGAATTTTAAACGCATTAATCGTGAAATTTGCTCATTTATTTAGCGAATTTCCTGTCAACGCGCCCAGCCCACATACACGCATACACAGGCAAGAGCGTGGCGTCCTTTTTGAATTATGTATGCCTGGGCTGTATGCGGCACTTATACCAATAATATATAAAGCATTTTTAAAAGATACAAGGATCTTTGCACTCGGTGTATATGAATTATAATAATGCATACATTTGTCAACAATTAAAACTCATAATTCACAAAGTCTCGTCCTACACTCGCATTCACACACTATTAAAACTCCAAACGTACATATACAAAGCGTTATACAGAATTTCAACTACAAGCACTTACACACACAAAGGCACTCAGACAGCTTGGCTTGGTTTTTCAAATTTCGTGATTGCCATTTTTTTTGCGCTTTTCGAACTCTTTTATGAATGAAATGAATATTGTAATTTGCATTTACCTGGCTCGTTACTTATATTACGCACACGCACTTTATTCTTATATTCTGATTTTTCAAATATAAACCGTAGTTCTTTCTTTCTTAACTACTTTCTGTCTCTCGTATATCTGTCAAACAAACCGAATGCGTTGAAGCAGAGTATGTGTGTGAACGATTGGGCACATTTTTTTTCATTTTCATTCCCTTAACGTAGCTAAGTGCTGATATTTATCGATAGTTTGAGAGTTTCTAGTCAAAGATGGGATAGGACCGTTTGACCGCTGTATAATTCAAATAAAAGACAAGCTCAATTCGTGCAAACTTTTAAAATAGGAAAAAAGTTTAAAAGCAACAATACTTTGAAATAATACTTTGTATTTTATTATGATGCAAGTGACTTCCTCTCCTAATATTCGCATTTATAAGAAATATCGATGTATGAATATTGCCGATAGTTTAAGCAAATTGTTTCAATATATCGGTGGAGTCGCTTCCTCCACTTGCGGCGGCGTTTTCTGATTTAAACAACGGCATCCTGACATGGCAATTTTGGTATTTTTGGTTTAATTTGGGTATTTTTATGGAATTTTGAGATATTTTCGCATTGTCTGTAAAAGGTCGCACATAATAAAACAAGCTGTCACAGCTTCGGCGGGAAATGACAGCAAAGTAAGCACCGGGATAAAAGTAATTTAAATGTGTATAAAAAACAACATATAAGACTTATATTTGATACTTCAAGATGCCGCCAACACCAAAATCAACATCACCCACGACACGCAAACGCTACTGCGGCCTAGGCAATCATCATCTCCGTACGCCTCACAAGACAATTAGTGATGAGAAAATACTTAGCTTCGCCAAGCATATTAACCCGGAATTGCGGAGCACAACGCTCCTCTGTGGAAGCTGTTATGATACGCTGGTGAAAATCTACCGTGTCAAGCTGCGACATGCCATACAACTGCAGAAGGGCAAAAAACGTGCAGCGGGCAATACAAACTCCATTTCTGATGTGAGTTCTAGTCAGCAGGTGCATTCACAGAGCTCGAGTGCGGTATCTGCGTATTCCACAATATCCGAGAATTCAAGCAAATCCACAATAAGCGACAACCAGCCCGCCACAAGCACAAGCACCACTACCAAGCGAAAGCGCGTGGAGCAACGGCCACCGGACACTGACGACGACGCCATCGACGATGACGAGGAGCCACTTTTAAGTCTGAATGCCGTGAATGGCACACGGCTACCGAACATTCAACCCATACCCAAGCGTCGCCAGTTCGTGCACTTGAACAAGGACGTAATGGATATATATCTGAGTGGAACTACGGGGGGGTGAATGAGGGGGTTATATGTTCCCTTTTTGGATATGTTGTGTTGTGTTGCTTAAGTTTTTAAGACTAATTCCAGGTTCACGAGGTGAAGATATAGATGATCGCATTAGCCTAATTATGCATTTCCATGTTAATTATGTTTCGTAAATTGTGAAATTATTTTGAATCGATTAACTGGATTAACAATAAAAAAGAATAGAATAATCGTATTGCGAAGTGCATCTTATACTTATACTTATACTCCTATCTCATCTTATACTTCGTTCTTCGATAAACTTGTATTTACTGTTGTTCTTAAGCATTTTGTTTTACATGCATGCAATATGGCAAATAACTGTTCATCTGAAAAACCCCAAAATGATTTTTAAAAAATACTTGCTTAAATTGTATAAAGTGCGACTGTTAGATATGCCCCACTTAATGACAATACGAATGTAAAATATATATAAATATAATAAAAACCCAAAATATTTGTTGTATTTGCACCGCATTTAAATTTATGCATTTCGATAGATTTTTTGAGGCAGCTGTATCTGTTATGCATCTGTTAATGCTGAAAATAGGTGCCAGTTAGGCGCTGTTAAGTTTTAAATCCTTAAAAATGAGCCTCAATCACTTCTTCGTTTGATTTTGTTACTACTTTGATTAGATGAATTGTTATAATAGCTAATTATTATCACAACAAATATAAGTTAGCAATCGAGTTAACAGAACAAAATTCGTGCTCACTGTTAATAACATGTTATTCGCATGTTAACTTAACAGACGGGCAAAGAAACAGCATCAGCAATAAAAAACAAAAAAAAAAAACACAAAAGTATTGCCAAAGGAGGAATTTATTTAATAATACGCTGAGATCCAGTTAATTGTTATGGAGTAAATGTGACAACACGTGAAGTTCGGGTCGTAAATGGAGGGCCACATTCGCTAGTGGCTGTGACGTCTTTTATTCCCATACGCCGTTTCCATGCTATAGATAACAGTTTTGCCTCCATAGGCCAGCACGAAAGTATGTGGCAAGTGATTAGCTGAGCTTATGTTGAATGAATATATCATTTGTTGTTGTTGTTGCAGCACATAATGGGCTGCATCACTAGCACCAATAAACTGAGTGAATTGCGGCAGGAGAACGTGTTTCGGGTGCACGTAGCCCATTTGCAGCCCAGCGGACCCGAGGCGCACATCATACGCAGCGGCTACTTGGAATTGACGCCGCGCGAGTTGATCTTCATGACGCCTGGCTGTCAACCTATTGTATGGGCACTGCAGCACCTGCGGCGCTATGGTCTTAATGGCGACATGTTCTCGTTCGAGGCGGGACGCCGTTGCATGTCTGGCCCGGGCATCTACACGTTCCGCATACACCATGCGGAGCAGCTCTATCCGATGTTCCAGCGCTATATAAATGCCGTGAACACCGACGCCTTTGCCCAAGGAGAGCGGGAACGTGAACGCGTCAACTCCACGCATTCGGTGTCGGTGCTCTTGGGTCGCAGCGATCTACAGCCGCATAGCAACAATTATCTGGAGCCGGCACCAATGCTGGCGCGTACTGCGCTGCAGGTGCAGCAGCAGCCGAACGAGGCAATTGCATTGACTTCCGATTCACCCGAGTCCTTGCCAAATCTGCAGCTCGTCGTCGCCGAGCAGGGCGGAGCTGCCAACCATGGCGCTCTGCAGTCTCCAATCACGCCCGGCGCCTACATCACTACCAATGGCAACGTGTACTTCGATCAGCCGATGCAGCGCTGCAGCTCACCACCGGAGAGCACGCCCACATCCACAAATAGCGCATTCAGCACGATGCGCCGGCAGCAGCATTTGGGTGACATACCGCCGCAAGAATCTGCTCCGGCGCTCAACGAAACGCTGCGTTTGTATGCCAATGTGGAGACATCGCGAGAGCGGCTCCTGTTCGATATGCCGCTCGCCTCTGCCGGCTGCAATGATCGTTGCTATGAGAACATTAGTCGCCTGGACCTGCCCCCTCTGCCACGCGACTGCTCGCAGCATTCGGTGGCCGCCGCGTCGCAACAGCAGCAGCCGCCGCCGCCGGTGACGCAGACCAGTCCAGCTGGTGTTAACTACATAGTGCTCGACCTGGATCAGCCGCGTAGTCCGGCACAGTGCTCGCCCAAGACGATGACAAATGGCTTTGGCAGCGGCCTGTCCCTGACAGCTGCTGCGCCACAAACCCCGGAAGGAAAGAAAGCTTCCGATGCTGCGGCATCAGCACAGAAGAGAAACTCGAATGCTGGGGCAACGGCAACCGGTGCTGCAACAGCTGTGGAAACTGTGGCCAGCCAAGGCTACTCCACCATTGATTTTATACGCACCTACGCTTTGAACAAATCCTCAACAGCACCTGCCCACGATGCCGAGGCGCCGGCAGGCTGCCAGGACCATGCACACGAGGATGCTGATCAGCGCATCACGCGGCATGGCAAATGTGTGCGAAAAGCCTACTCAATTAGCGAGTAGGAAACGAACGAGGAGAGGAGCGAAAGTCGAATGTGAGGAGGAGCGAGAGTCGAATGTGAGAAGGAGCGAGAGTCGAACATGAGGAGGAGCGAGAGTCGAATGTGAAGAGTATCGAGAGTCGAATGTGAGGAGGATCGAGAGTCGAATGTGAGGAGAAACGAGAATCGAACTTGAAGATCGGGAGTCAAATGTGAGGACGATCGAGAGTCGAATGTGAAGAAGATCTCGTGTCGAATGTGAGGAGGAGCGAGAATCGAATGTGAGGAGAAACAGGAGTCGAACTTGAGGATCGAGATTCAAATGTGAAGAGGATCAAGAGTCGAATGTGAGGAGGATCTAGGTTCGAATGTGAGAAGGATCGAGAGTCGAATGTGAGGAGAAACGAGAGTCGAACTTGAGGAGAAGCGGGAGTCGAATGTGAGAAGGAGACGCGTAAGAGTTGGAAAAGGCAGCACAACGAATTTACCATAAACAAAAAAAGGATAAAATATGTTTAACTTATTCGTTAGGTTGGCCTTGGCAAATGGTAATGGAATCGCCCCGCAACTATTTGCCTCGAGCCTAACCACAACCAAAGCCAGCCACAAATCGCAATCAGGTTGTTTCAATTTATGTACTTACGCAAAGGCATACTATATATATTTATATTTATATTTATATTAATATTAATATTTATATTTAATTGTGCACGTGCATAGATATATTTAAGTATTTTTACACACACACACAGGGCTGTTTAGTGCTAGTCGTTTTTTAGAATGTTGTGCAAATTAATGTTTTTTTATTGTGAAAATGCAACACGAAAGGCTTTTAAATTGTATAAATTACATACATGATGTACTCGTTAGTTGTTAAGTTAACCAAAATAGTATGTATGCGAATGTACATCGTTTTGTTGTTAAGATTTGCGAAAAACGAAGGCCCAGTGCTTTTTGATTTAATTTGTTGCCAGCTTAATTCTGTAATTCTAATTTTTATATTGCTTTATTGTTATCCAAGTTCTTGGAAATTGAAACAAATGTACTCATACTTATGTACATGATGTATGGCATCAAGAATCCAGCACATGTACCTTTATGTATACATAAATATGTACATATTGCAATAATATTTGTATTTGTTGTTAGTTTTTAAGTCTAAGATGTGCAATAAAGATGGAAACAAAATTATAGCCTATAATCATATTGTTATTTGTTAATTCTTAGATAAGTTTTTTGATTTTAATTCGTTTAGCTTTACAGATGAAAAGTGTCCAGATCTGAGATGCCCTAACTTATGTTCTAATTTATTTATTTATTTGAAGTTCAGTAAATTGTCTGACATAATTAATTAAATATGTTTTAAATATTGGATCCAATCTACAAAACTCGATTAAATCTATCGAATCTATCGAATGAAAATCAACTCAAGACTGTCCAGTGTGCACACACCCCGCGTTAAATTGACGCCAGTGTGTGTTGTGTTTACCGTTTTAAACGCAAGTGGTGAATATTGTGAACGAGCAAATTGACTTGACGAAGAATCTTTAGACTTTACGGACATGCATAATTAAATTTGCGTGCTTGCGCTTGGCCCACCTGAACACTCGACTGGCGCGCATTTGCTGATAAGAAACAAACTTTATTTAAATAGAGCGCCAGCTTGCATTAAGTCACTGAGAGAGCAGGAAAGAGAAAGAGCAGAAAGAGAAGAGAAAGATCTCACGTTTATTATCAACAATTGGAGCGCACGACACAGCCCGCGTCCAGTGCGACTCGAGCTATTGACATTGAGCGTCATGGTCGGGCGTGTCGGTGTTCTCTTGCTCTTGGTCTTGACCTTCGTGCACAAATTGAGCTTGGGTCATTGCCAGCTCGGGCCGGAGCTGGCGGCACGTTTGACGCCTGAAACCACGCCGGACGTGCAGGAAGAAGCCGTGCGGCAGCTCATGCAACGTGTGATCGGGCTGCGAGCGTCCAACTTATTTCAGGTGGAAGTGAACAAGCTGCTCGAAACAAGCAGCTACCAGGTGAGCAGTTTGCCGGAAAAGAGTTGAATCGAACCAGAGAAGATCAGGTTTCTAATGATTTTCAATTGCAGATCAGCCGTTTGGATAATGGCCAAGTGTTGATAGCCGGATGGGATGGCGTCTCGGTGTGCAAGGGCTTTCATTACTATCTAAAATATGTGCTCAATCAGGATGTGGACTGGCACAAGACACGCATTGAGCTCTCCGACCAATTGCAACTGCCGAATGTGACACTCAGCTCGAAGTCGGCCAGTTCCATTATCTACTACCAGAATGTGTGCACATGGAGCTACAGCTTCGTGTGGTGGGGATTCGAGGAGTGGCGTGCACACATCGATTGGATGGCGATGATGGGCATTAATCTTGTGATAGCGCCCAACCAGGAGGCCATCTGGCAGACGGTGTACACAGAGCTGGGCCTCAACGCAAACGAAATAGACGCACACTTTGCCGGTCCGGCGTTCCAGGCTTGGCAGCGCATGGGCAACATTCGTGGCTGGGCTGGTCCACTGCCACCCGCACACAGGCGTCTCCAGCAGCTGCTGCAACAACTCATTGTGCGTGCACAGCGCGAGCTGGGCATGAGCGTCGCTCTGCCAGCATTTGCCGGACATGTACCTACGGCAATGCGACGTGTCTTTCCCAATGCCAACTATACGCCTGCCGAACGCTGGAATAACTTTCCTGATCAGTATTGTTGCGACCTGTTTGTCGAGCCACACGATCCGCTTTTTCAGCAGTTGGGCGCCATGTTTCTGCGGCTTGTCATCCAAGTCTATGGCTCCAATCACATCTACTTCAGCGATCCTTTTAACGAGATGCAGCCACCGCTAGCTGAGCCGGGATATATGCGTTCGACAGCCAAGGCAATTTATAACTCGATGCGAGAGGTGGACGCGAATGCCGTATGGTTGCTGCAGGGTTGGATGTTTCTAAAGAATATCTTCTGGACAGATGAGCTTATAGAGGCCTTCCTGACTGCGGTGCCGCGTGGTCGCATCCTAGTGCTCGACTTGCAAAGCGAACAGTTTCCGCAATACCAGCGCACCCATTCCTACTACGGTCAACCATTTGTGTGGTGCATGCTGAACAATTTCGGCGGTACGCTGGGTCTCTTTGGGTCCGCCCAGTTCATCGGCAGTGGAATCATATCGGCACGCATTATGCCCAATAGCAGCATGGTGGGCGTAGGCATCACACCCGAGGGCATTGGCCAGAACTATGCCATGTTCGCTCTCACCCTTGAGCAGGGCTGGAGCGCGTCGGAGCTGCAACTTGGCGACTGGTTCGATCACTTCGCTCTGAGTCGCTATGGTGTTAACGATACACGTTTGGCCCAGGCTTGGCAGCTGTTGCGCGGCGGCGTTTACTCCTTCCATGGCCTGCAACGTATGCGTGGCAAATATGCCTTGAACAAAAGGCCAGGACTAAACTTGAATCCGTGGACCTGGTACAATGGCTCCAGTGTGATCGAAGCCTGGCAGCTGTTGCTGGCGTCCAGGGAAAAGGTGCCTCTAACGGATGACAGGTATGCCATCTATGAGCACGACCTGGTAGACATAACGCGCCAGTTTCTGCAACAGAGCTTCGATCAGATATACGTCAACCTGAGGTCAGCGTATCGCAAGGAGCAGCTAAGTCGTCTCGAGTATTTGGCTGGCAAGCTGCTGGAACTACTCGACGATATGGAGCATATACTGGCAAGTGGCGCACACTATTTATTGGGCACTTGGCTGGAGGCCGCCAAGAAATTGGCGCCCAGCGATCAACTGCGTCCCCTCTACGAGTTTAATGCGCGCAATCAGCTCACGTCGTGGGGTCCCAACGGTCAGATTCTCGATTATGCAACAAAACAATGGTCGGGCCTGATGTGCGACTATTACCAGCCACGTTGGGCAATGTTTCTGGACGCAGTCACGCAGGCAATCCAAACTCACAGGCCGTTCAACGCCACCGACTTCAAGCAGCGGGTGGCCAACGAGATCGAGCTGCCATTCAGCAACCTGACCAAGGTGTATCCCACAAAGCCCATGGGAAACACGTGGCTCATTTCAAATGATATATACATCAAATGGAGCTCCTATGCGAAAGAAACACAATTTCTGCACAATTGTCGATTACCCGTAAAGCTTCTGACATAGAGCCACAATGATATACAAATAAACCCAAGCTCTTCTCCCTAAGCAGAGACCATATCACGATAGAGATCGAGCAGCAAATGTTTGAGAAAACTATTAACAATAAAATGTAAGCTTCAGTTTTGCGTTTTATTTATAAAAATAATTATAATTTTTGTGTTATAAATATAAAAAAATTAATCTTTACTTTTTTTTTTAGTTAAAATAAAAAACAATTTTAGTCACATTGTTTAAATATTATTTTGGAGCCCTTTAACTATGTATAAATGTGAGAAAAAAAACAAACTAAACAAATAAGATAAGTGTTCTACTCAAATTCCATTGCAAAATGCTCTGATCCTGATTTTTAGTCAAATATCTGCTTCAATAATCATTCTCTCCGGTCCCCGCCAAACACACACACATTCGTACATAGAGATATGATCTTTGTGTTTTTAATTGATTTTTATTTAAATTATTGTACAAACTAATTTAAATGTAAAAATTTAAACATCTTCATCAATCATCAATCATACGCATACAAATTTCTATGGAGCTGGTTTTCTTTTTTTGTTTATATTTTTTTTTTATTTTTATTTTTTTTGCAAGTGAGTGTGTTGTGTTGTGTGTATGTTTATTTGACGCACATTACATACATGTACATAATTATTTGATTGGGTTTATACAAGTGTATACATAGAATCAATTACTCATTAATCATATTCTTGATGTTTTGTGGGCGAACTACAATTAACTTTACTTTAATATTATTTGTTCCTTTCGTTTGAATGTGGAAAGGATTATGTGGGGGCATGTGTTGTTCGCTCGTTTTCATTCACACACAATATTTCTACAATTATACTCATTTAAAAATTTCAAACAAACATTATTATTATTATTATTATATGTATTTAGTAATTATGTATGTATAAAGTTTTCATCTTTCGTTTGCTTTTTAATGTAGACGACGATGTTTTATCAGCTAAGTTTGGGGTTAGGGAGTGCGCGTGGTTTTGTTGTCGGTTCGGCTGGCGGCAAGTACGCAAAAATATGTTAATCATATTAAGGTATGCAATTGCGCACATTAACCGCTTTATATTCTCGTATCATTTAACTTTATTCAACAGAAACCCAACTGTCAGCATGTAGATGCGTATGTGTGTGCAGGTGTGTGTGTGTGTGTGTGTGTGTGTGGTGTGTGTGTTTGTATATATATATAACGTTTATACTCATATGCATTCATCAATCAAACAAACATTTATACTTTTTCTCCAAACGAGAAAACACTCATACATCATTTTCAATCATCAATCATCAATCATCAATCATCATTATCATCATCAGCATTCTCAAGCTTCAACTAACACGCGGCATATTTTATTCATCCTGCATATCCTCTGGCAATTCGTGCGGATTCAACATGCCCGGAATATTACGTTGCATTTGACGCTTATTGGACTGCTCCTCGGCCAATGCTGCTTCACGCTCCTCCAGATACAAATCCGAATCATCCTCGCCGGTCGCCTCCTGAAAAGCGTATGTATATAATTGAGCAAAATTGCAGTGTATCTCTTGCAGTTGGCTAGTTTACTTACGCGAATTTGTATTAGAAAGTCTCTCAAGTGCTCCTTAAATGCTTGTACATTCTCGTCCAAATTGAAAAGGCCCGTAACAAAGACTTTGATCTGATTATCTGATAAATGATTAAATGCCGACTTTAGCAATGAGGCCACATATTCCTGTATGAATATCATATTGTCCGGTATGGGGCCCAAATCAACCGTTATTTTTCTATTTTCCACCAACGAAAACATATACGCCAATATTATAGCATGGTTGGGCAGGCCCGCTGTATGGGAAGTGTCAGTGACTACTGAAAAGATTTGCATCAGGATATCCGTAAAGTAGGTCTGATAGAAACTCTGCGCCGCATTCGGATGTTGTTCAAGGTTCTGCAGCATCTGTTATATAACAATATTATGATTAACTCACTTGCAACTCTCGGCAAATGTTTCACTTACCTTGTAGAGTAT